CCCCTCACCCCTACCCACCCCTACTAGGGCAATTTTTTTTCCATAGTTGATCGGACGGTCAGTCGTTATCCTCAAGCATGACCATGCTGAATCCTCAACCGTTGGATGTGAGTCTTCCCTACATTACTTCGTTAAATTCACTGTTACTATCGATAGAAATGTCTATTTATATGCCTTTTTCTTGGTCAAATTTGTTAATTGTTCGCATGTTCAAGTGATGTCAAAAGTTGTCTCGCATTGAATAGGTTTGTGATCAGCTAGGGTTTTTGTTATGGCAAGGTAGGGTTTAGGGACTAAATTGTCTTTCATTGGTTCGTAAATTGAGCTGCGTTGTTGTGAATGGAGAAAAAAAAGTAGTGTTTTTGATTCAAAGGACTGGGTTAGGGTTTTACTAGATCATGCTCCTGACTTGCTTTTATGTTTATTTGTTTTGCATTTATGATGCATGCAGTCTTTCTTATTTTTGGATTGGTTATATGTACTGACAATGTAAATTTATCTTACACTATCAGTGTAGTTTAACCTGTTATAGCATGTAACTTACTATTTAGTCTAGGTTATTAATCAATGCTTATTAAATAGAGTTACCTGCAACTGGATAGACATAGTTAACCCGGTACCTATGCTGGTGGGAGGTAACAGGTACACCGTGGAATTAGTCGAGGTGCGTACAAGCTGGCCCGTACACCACGGTTATAAAAAAAGAAATAGAGTTACCACATTTAGTCATTGACTAATTCACTAGGTAATCCTCAATAAATGCTTACTTGGATTGGGGCACAGGGGCGGATGTAGTGTGGTAATGACGGGTTCAATCGAACCCATAACTTTCAACGCGGAGTAGAAATGTATATGTAAAAACTTGTTAAAATTGCAAAAATAGTAGATATGAACCCATCACTTTAAAAATATAATGGGTTATATATTAAAACTTTAAAAGTTGAACCCATAGAGTTGATATCCCGTTTTATTTTAGTTTTAATAAAGGTGCGTAGCGCATCTTGCGCGCACCTCAATTAATCACTTGGAAATCTGCTATAGCCCACAAGTTGGTCCCTGGTAGACCTGCCCTGCTTAGATTGGGGCAGATGAGCTCACAGTGTTGCATCTTATTTTTTATTTTATTTTATTTGATTATGTTGTTGTTGCGGCAAGTTTTTCCTTGTCTTGAATAATCAACTGGCAATCTGATAGCGCCTACAAGCATATGTGTCAGGTGAACCTGTCCGACAAGGTTGGTACGGATGGGCGCACATGGGTGCAAGTGTCTTTGTTTTAGCAATCTCTGAAATTACTCTTTTTTTGGGAATAATTCAGCAGCAGGAAGAAGAGGAGATGCTTGTGCCACATTCTGACTTAGTTGAAGGTCCTCAGCCCTTAGTTGAAGGGCCTCAGCCCATGGAAGGTTGTTCCTCTTTTAACTGTTGCTATTTGAGTTCCTTTTCTGTTTTAGAGGAGTTTAGGTTGGTAATTGATCAGTCTTATGCTTGTCTTGGATCTTGTTGTAACGTTTTGATGTGATCATATGGTAAATTTGATTAATAGTGGCACCTGCTGAGAATGCTAGTACGGGGGAGAGTCAAGCCGTAGATGAGCCACAGGCATCCCGGTTTACTTGGACAATTGACAATTTCTCTCGGTTATCTGTGAAGAAGCTATATTCCGAGGCTTTTGTTGTTGGTAGTTATAAATGGTAAGTGGCATTTATTGCTTAAATTGGTGGTTTACTTTAATAATTTTTTTTTTAGATTGGGTTATAATTGGCCTATGACTGGCATTGGTTTGTAGGCGAGTGCTTATATTTCCAAAAGGAAACAACGTGGATTGTTTGTCAATGTATTTAGATGTGGCAGATTCATCTACATTGCCATATGGGTGGAACAGATATGCCCAGTTCAGCTTAGCTGTTGTAAATCAAATAAACCCCAAATATTCAGTGAAAAAAGGTACTTTCTTGTCCTGTTTCGGTGCACCTAAAGCTTGAATCCAAATTTCATCCGTACGATTGGGATGTCAGATTTTATTTTTTCCTTCATTGCCTTTTCACGTGTCTTGGAATATTCTCATTTCTCCCTCCGTCGAAGTACACTTAATGAAACTTCCTTTAGGGAAAAAAGAAGAAGTAGTGTCTTACCTTTCCTGACGTTGACTCATCCTTTGCGTGTCTTTTTGTTTGTAAATTGTATGCCTATTTTGATTTTTTCTTTTCCATTACCTTACCTTTCTTAGTGTCGTAAAAATCAATATCTTTTCATTTTAAAGTTTTTGCTTAAGAGCTTGCAGACTTATGGCGCATAATAAAAGCTTCACCATCCTTTTGTCTGTTAAGGGTTTCATACCAATCTATCATGTGAATATTTGTTTCGCCCTTTTGATCTTTTACATTTTAAATTCCACCGGATGGTAGTAACCATTTCTTCTGGAAATGTGTCATTTCAAGAATGCATATACTGTGGTTGCACCTTGGCTCAATCTTACAGCATAATGAATATAGAGGATTTATATCGCCCACCACAGCTAACTTGGAATTGAGCTGAGTTTGATTGAATAAGTAAAGTTAGAGACTTTATTTATTGTCCCACCGAAGGTGTGTCCACCTTCGTTTCAATCTTTTAACCTACGAGTCAAAAACCTGCAAAATCAGAAACAGCCAATCAGCCGTTCAAATTATCTCATCAGAATTGGCGTAATCAGATCATTATATATTATCAGGTCATCTTCACTTTTGGAGTTCATTCTTTTTTCTTGTCAAAAGCAGTTCATAAAGAAACACACTGAGCAGAATGTGAAGTCCTGCATTTCATGAATTTTAGTTTTCTTCTTCTTTTCACGTTGCTCTTTTTGTGTGGAGTGGGTGAACCTTAGCTGTAATAAATTAAACGCTAAAAAAGCTTCAGACTAATAATGGACGCAAGATGTAAAAAGAAATGGGAGTCTATTTGAACCTTTTCTGCCACACAAGGATAGGAGTACAACCATATGTCTGTCCTTTTTTTTTGGGTTTTGTGGGGAGGGGGATAAGTAATCTTTTAAAAAAAAAATGCTTGCACTAAACCAGTGCGGCAAGTTTCTTTTTTATAGGGTTGACGATATCATCTTCATTTGCTGAATTAATGCTTAACTACAATTGGAAAAGGATTCTTGTATATCTCTCTGCACCATCTTGGTTTGATAATAATAAATGAAGTTTAATTTATTCGAAAAAGGACGGTCAAACAGCCAAGCAAAAGAATAGTATACTGAGATAAGATGGAAGAGAGACATTAATTGAAAGGTATGGTAAATCTTTACCTATTTATTGCAATAAACATATGGAAAATTTATTTGAACCTATTGAATAGGAGAAAAATTGGCAACTTCATTACTCCAGGCTGCTCCAAATTCCTGAATGAGGCTTCCTAAACTGTTTTTACGCTTGCTGTTAACAGTCTAGGAATTAGGAAACTTATCCCATAAAGACAAAATCATAACAACAACTACATCTCAATCCCAAACAAGTTAGGGTCAGCGAAAAGGAAAAACCAAATACAACAATAACAACAACATACCCAGTGTATTGGATTAGTGATCTGCAGGTTTGTTAGAAAATTGACTTGATTGTGAGTTACAGAACTGAATGGCTCTCAGGGAGCCTGAGATGCCAATTAATGATGAACAATATGTGTTTGTCTCATACTGGCATGGATTTGAATTGTTTTTTGGTTGCAGAGACGCAACACCAGTTTAACCAAAGAGAGAGTGACTGGGGCTTCACATCTTTCATGCTTCTAAGTGATCTTTATGACCCCAATAAGGGATATCTTGTAAATGATAAAGTTGTTATTGAAGCCGATGTTGCTGTACGAAAGGTCATTGATTACTGGACATATGACTCAAAGAAGGAGACAGGATATGTTGGGCTTAAGAATCAGGGAGCTACTTGTTACATGAACTCTCTCCTACAAACCTTGTACCATATCCCCTACTTTAGAAAGGTTAGCATATGTTCTAGTTTTTTATGATGCAAGTTTTTTAGTAAGTATATTTGTTTTATTGGTTCTAGAATGCAATATCCTCATTTTGGGTTGTTGGCCCCCCCAGGCTGTGTATCACATGCCAACTACAGAGAATGACATGCCATCGGGGAGCATCCCGTTGGCTCTGCAAAGTTTATTTTATAAGCTCCAATATAGTGATACCAGTGTGGCGACAAAAGAATTGACAAAATCTTTTGGATGGGACACATATGATTCATTCATGCAGCATGATGTGCAAGAACTAAACAGAGTGTTGTGTGAAAAGCTTGAAGACAAGATGAAGGTATGATTACAAAATGACTAATTGCAAATTTTGATGATCTTATTGGATCTTCTAATGATGTTTTTGTCCAGGGTACGGTTGTGGAAGGGACAATTCAAAAGTTATTTGAGGGGCACCATATGAATTACATAGAATGTATCAATGTGGACTTCAAATCAACGAGAAAAGAGTCATTTTATGGTATCTGCTTATCCTCAGATTTGTCCCTTGAATCCTTAATGCCTGCTCATGGACTTATTTTTTTAATAAACTTCTGCAGATCTTCAACTCGACGTCAAAGGCTGTCGCGATGTTTATGCCTCTTTTGACAAATATGTTGAAGTTGAACGTCTAGAAGGCGATAATAAGTACCATGCTGAAGAACATGGTTTGCAGGTTCAACACTCTTATCAATGAACAATAAATTGATGGGCCTTTGTTGTGGTTACATGTCCTCATTTATAACAATAAAGAATCAAAAAGTTTTCAATTATTTTTATGCTCCGTATAGAAACTGAAAAAAGATCTACTTGTCACAATCATTTTTTTTATAACCGTCGTGTCCGGGCTAGGTTGCACGCACCTTGACTCATTCTTGGGTTGCTACCTCCCACCAGCATAGGTACCTCTGTCCACCAAGGCTTGGACAGGTGGAAAAAAATCACCTAGTTTTTTTGCCTCTGCTGATCATTTGTAATGTTTCCACAACAATGGAAATAAGAAGCTTGAAATTGGATAGTGCGAGTCCAAATTGGTTAGAATAGGAGCTTGGGATTCACTAGTATCTCTCTAAAACATTAGACCATCCATATTCTTGTGAAAATGCAACAAGAATATTAATCTTTTTAACTGAATATGTTTTTTTTTTCTCTCAGAAGGTCCATCCACATGATGGAGGAGTATCTTCTCAACTGAATAGGCATATAATTTGGAGCCTAATTCAGCCTTTCTGTTTTTCCGCTTCCTATGTTTTTTGGGGCGGACGGTGTTGGTAGTTCTCCGATGTAAATTAAAAATTCCAAATAGATGAGGGATAGTAGGAGGTACCACTAAGGGGGACCTAATGGATGAATCAAACGTCTTATTTGGATTTGTATTTTGTGGGGTCTTGGGGCTAGATTGGTGCTAAGAATGCCATTATGCAGGAAGTCGGAAGACACATGAAATACCCTACCAGCATGTTGAATTTAAAGAACTTGCTACTTGAACTCATAAAGCTAAATAGTAGAGAATGTCACAAAGGACTTCCTTAAGCCAGCAACTGACTCTTATTTGTTGCCTTTTTTTTTTCTTCTGTTGTGAATATGGAGTGCTGTGTTGATTTCAGGATGCAAAAAAAGGTGTACTATTTATTGACTTCCCTCCAGTTCTCCAGCTTCAGCTAAAAAGATTTGAATATGATTTCATGCGAGATACAATGGTTAAGGTTAGTACTAGTTTCTTCTTTCTCAGCTTGCTATATGATTTGATCTGTAATATTAGGTTTTGGGTTGATTCATAATTTCTCTTTCTAAAATGGTGTTATTTCCCGTATTTGGTTCAAGCAAATACGTTTGGCATATGAAATAGAGCATACCTTTTGTCACTGCTGGCTCACATAGCTTTTTGGATTGTTCCATGGTTCCCTTCCTAGAGTGAGTGTTATTTGCTGTTTGCGGGTCCGAACATAAATGTTCGGCAAAAGAAGTGTATTACTTCAATATCCTACTACCTTATCCGAAATAATGGGGCAATGAAAAGAAACTTGAAAGTGAACCTGTTAAAACAAACTAGAATAAAGGAAAAGCCCAAGGTTGAAAGTTTGTGATCATCATTTTCTAGAAGCGTAGGACCATATAGTATTTTCTTTAAAGGTGCTATTTGGTAGTTGGAATATTTTCAGTGGAAGGTTTTCCAATTTTTATGAACTTGTTTGTTGAATTGTGGGCAGAATTTTTGTCTTTTTTAACAGAAGCTTTTCCATCAGAGAAAAGAAACAGTGGGGCACGATTTATTCTTCACTGCGGCTCCTCTGCCACTATCGGATAATACGGTTGAATTGTCTCCTAAAAAATGGTCCTGTTACTGATTATTAACTTTGTTACCAACCACAACCATCATGACCCCCAAATCTTCCGTCGTCCTACTATCAGATGCTGCAAATGTTTGTCTATTTAATCTGAACATCAGAAAATGATTAACTGTAGTTTTATAACGGTCTCTTACAAGTAATATATTCCTTGAAATGTAGTTTACATGTTCTTCTAATATATTATTGATGGTATTGAATCCCATATTGTAGTGTTCAGATGCTCACGTGTTACAATCTTGCTTCTATGTTGCAGATAAATGACCGTTATGAATTTCCTCTAGAACTTGACCTTGATAGGGAGAATGGCAAATATTTGTCTCCTGATGCAGATAGGAGCGTCCGGAATCTCTACACACTTCATAGGTAAGTTTAACTCTCTTTTCTATGTGTATGTGCGGACAAACACACTAGTACGCAATTGCGAAGACTTTTTGTTTTGACTTCTTTGCCTAATCAGTTGGGTATGAAATAAGTCAGTCTTTTTTTTTTTGATAAGTAAAGGTATTTTATTCACATTAAATCAAAAGGTAAGTTGGTGCAACTTAAGCCTTTTGATTACATCTCTAAGATACAGGACAAATCATCATTGCTTTCTGATTAATTTGCATCCTTTTTATTATACAAAAATAGAACAAGTTTGTCAAATATCTGTGCTTTAAGCTATGCACTGCTCTTACCTCCCTCAAAGCATCTCCTATTTCTTTCTGTCTATATATACCACATGATGCACGGGTAAGCAGTATCCCAAAACTTCATTACTTCTTTATGGACTTTCAACCTCTCAATGGGAAAAGACATTCACGATTGATGTCGGCCTTAATCATTCTATTCCAAAAAGAACAGAGAACACATTCGATGCCTCTTTTGCTACCTCACTTTGCATAAGGTTATTCGCCAAGTTTTTACCTTTTTCAAGCTTGAAGCATTTATAACTTACCACTCTTCCATTACTCGACATAAGGAAGTGTAGGAAACTTTACTGTGAAGCTACTGCATTTTCCCCCTACTCGGTATCCTGGTCCAAAATACCCTTGTTACACGGAGCAAAGCTGACTTACTACTGCTAATTCCCAGTCCTCAATCCCAACTATGACTTTGCTCTGGTTGTCCCATAATCTAGTTGGCTAGGACTGTGTGCAAAGTATTCGTCTTAACTCAACTATGCTTTATACACATCTATTTTTTCTGATGTGTTTCTTTTGCTCTTTATAAACCATATGTACCATGAAAACCTTTTTGTAGTTACTGAGACTTTTTTTCACACTTGCTTTCATTCTCTTATGTTGTATTTGCTTAAGATTTTACAATGAATTGTATGTCACTATTCTTTGTGCTGTTTCCTTTTGTTCATTAGTGATATGATATTCTGAACCATTGGCTAGCCTAGATGCTTAGCATTATCTTTTATTTTTATGCTAAGAGTATCGCCTTGCCCTTTTCTTAATGCAGTGTGTTGGTTCATAGTGGTGGTGTGCATGGTGGACACTATTATGCTTTCATCAGGCCAACACTATCAGATCAATGGTATGCACTGTCTCTGTAAAATATTTTCTTCCTCTGTCTCTTTCTTCTAATAATCCAAGATGTTCACGAACATGCACCCGAACACCGTGTTCACACATGCTTTTATGTGTGATGTATATAAACATGTACTTCAAGCATGTTGAGACTGGCAAAGAATCTAAATATACTTGGATTTTATTAGCTTCAAGTTTTGGAATTCTCTTCGTAATATTCTACGTCAGGTCTCTGATGTCATCTTTCTCTTTGTTTTTTTAGGGGTGGGGGGTGGGGTGGGGGATGGGCACTTGTATCTACATATATAATTTTCCCGTAGGATCACAGAGCGGTAACAAAAAAATTCTGTATCTATCATATGTCATTCAGATAAACTGAAAAGTTAATCTTTGTGATTGGGCTCTGATTGGATGTGATTATTTGGTTCTATGCTAGGTATAAGTTTGATGATGAACGGGTGACAAAAGAAGACTTGAAGAGGGCTCTAGAGGAACAATATGGTGGAGAGGAGGAGGTATATGTCGCTAATAGCAGGTCTAAATTGTGTCTTGTGGTGTCATGCTTTGATTTGGACTTACTTTTGCTTTAACAGTTGCCACAGACAAATCCTGGCTTCAATAACACTCCCTTTAAGTTTACAAAATACTCCAACGCGTACATGCTTGTTTATATACGTGAGAGTGACAAGGATAAAATAATTTGTGATGTCGGTGAGAAAGACATTGCGGAACACCTAAGGGTATGTTTTCAAAAATTCTCCAGGCAAGAAATAGATTTTGTGCACCTGTTACTCAGTTTGCCCGTGATAAATTCTATTTTTTTGTTTCATTTCAGATAAGGTTGAAGAAAGAACAAGAAGAGAAGGAGGACAAGAGACGATACAAAGCACAGGCCCACCTTTATACAATTATCAAGGTAATTTTCAAATGGATGTGTCAGATAATAAGTTTTCTCTCCTTGAATATGTTGTGTTGATCGACTCGTGTATGTGTGTATGTAGGTTGCACGTGATGAGGATCTTAGGGAGCAGATAGGAAAGGAGATATATTTTGATCTTGTTGATCATGACAAAGTTCGTAGCTTTCGAATTCAGAAACAGATGCCTTTTAACCTTTTCAAGGTACTATTCACTTTCTATAATTATTGTTGCTTAGTTTAGACCTATGTTGCTTGATATTTTTAAAATGCCGTCTCGTGTGTGTTGGATCCTCCAAAAGCTATGCATTTTTGAGGATTCGACACAAGTGCGCTGAGATCTTTGGAGGATCCAAGTAACATAGGTTTGGACTCAAGTAGCACATCACTTCCCAATAACTTTAGTTGTGTGGACCTCTTTGTTTCTGTTGTTTGATCCTTGTTAATAACCTTTATTCAATCAAGCAAGGATGGAAATGTTATCTGTGGAATTGAATCAGAATCAGGAGGCTGAGATTTGTTCTCAAGGATGACCTTTTTGGCCTTCTCCCGTCTATACAATCAATGAGTTACTAATTTCTATTTGTGGTGCCTGTTCATATCTTTGGCATGTTTATGTGGTAGTCCTATTTCGTGGATATTCTCGCTTGTGTTTGACCAAACTACCCGTTGCTACAGGAGGAAGTTGCAAAAGAATTGGGTCTCCCAGTTCAATTCCAGCGTTTCTGGATTTGGGCAAAGCGGCAAAATCACACATATCGGCCCAATCGCCCATTAACTCCGCAGGAGGAACTACAAACCGTGAGTCCTTTTATCTTTCTCATACCCATTCTGAGTTTTTTGCAATTTGTTATGGCAGTATTTACCTGTTCCGGGAAATAATACATGTTCATAGTTTCAATCATGTTTTTGCATTGGTAATGTTTGTGCATAATTTCTGAGTCTGTTGGATTCAAGCCTCTGCTGTTGAGGGCACGGAGAACTTTTTTGTTAACTTCATCTAAGCTAGAAGGTGGTTTTTTTCTTTTGTAGAATCAGTGTGCACCGTAAGGAGATGATAATTTGTTGCAGTCTTGTGTTTCATTCTTTGGAAAAGATAGTTAATTAGAATAAGTTTGTGGATATCTATTATCTCTTCTTGGGTGGTGTAGGGTTTTCATGTTTTTGAATTTCAAACTTTTTAAAAAACTGGTCTACAAAACGAACATAGCACAACATCCTAGAAATAGAAGGATTCGATCTTGTGGTTGAAGAAAATTAGATCTAGTGTACCAAGAAAAAAACGAACTTGATTGTCATAGTTAATTTAGAAGTAAGGCCATAGTGATCCTTATGAAATTCTAAGGCCATATAATGACTACGGAAAGCTTATGCTTCTTCTTTCTTGGTAATTCCTCTCCTCGCTGTAAAGAAGTAGGGGAAGAGTGGGCTGACTGAATAGATTATAAGCAAGATTCAGCACTGGCTGTTATTCTCCATCGTCATAAAGAAAAACATGTGAGTCCTCTGAGAACTCCACTACCATTCTCACTGTATTAAAAATATCAATGAAGGAGAAATATTCAATTCTATTACCGGGAAATCAAATGGTGGAGGATTCATAAGGCAACTTGCTTTAGTATTCAGTTTCTCCAAATTTCCTAAGCAGAGCTTCTTGTTTGATTCGTTTATGATCCTTGCAAAGAACTGATACGGTAGGCGTTGGAATACTATTTTTCCAAGTTTATTCATCCATGTAAAATTATTCTTAGTTTAGGTTATCTAAGTTGCTCCGACACGGTAGTTTAGGTGCCGCACCCGTGACGACACGACACTAGTATGGGTGTGGGATCCGCACCGGATCTGGTCAAACAATTTTGGGTACTTTGACCACAACGGACAAAAAAATTCGAGACGAGATACAATTTGATTCCCGAAATCAGAACTAAAACTAGGGTAAATTTGGAGAAAATAACATACCTTATCTAGGAAATCAATCCTTTACTTATCTGCAACTTGAGAATAAAAAAGAAATCCACACTTTACAAGCTATCCGTAAGTATTTCACAAATTTTCTCATAATTTAGAGATATTTTCATATTTTTTGTTTTTTTGAACTATCTTATGATAAATGGACTTTGGGCCTAACTCAACTCAAAAGCTAGCTTATGAGGTGAGTATTGCCCAAGACCATATAAGGAGACCAAGGACCTCAAATCCCACCGATGTGGGACAACTCAACACCTCCCCTCACGCCCAGGTCTGCAAACTGGAGCGTGGACAACATAAATGGGGGCTCAATATCGGCAACAATAATTGGGATGAGCCCGGCTCTGATACCATGATAAATGGACCTTGGACCTAACTCAACTCCAAACGCTAGCATATGAGGTGAGGATTGCCCAAGACCATATAAGGAGACCAATGACCTCAAATCCCACCGATGTGGGACAACTCGACATTTTTAGCCGGATCCCTGCACATGTATCCGTACTAGGATCCGTATCCCCGAATCTTAGAATTTACATCTCGAAGGATCCGACCTCTAGATTCGCACCCGTGTCGGATACCCGCACTCGTGTCCGAGCAACTTAGTAGGTTATACAATGGCATTTCATTTGTTGTGTAGTTATCTCTTATCTTGTCAAACTAATAAGAAATCATGGACATGCAAATGTTGGTTTCTTAAAATGTTTGCACTAACTAATGTATTATCATCTTTACAAAATTTTGATTGCCAACAACTGAATGTCTTAGCTTTATGATTCTAGAATTGTATTGTTGTACCTTTAAATGTCATTTTACTGCATACATTCTCTTCTGCCTATCCAACAAAAATACTTTGCCTTGTTTTGCTTCTATGATTCTTCATAATAATTGCATAATTCCACGCTTTTAGCTTTTCTTAAACGATGTATACTGTTGTTTGAAGACAACTATCTGTATGTGCAGGTTGGTCAGTTAAGGGAAGTTTCTAACAAGACCAACAATGCTGAGTTAAAATTATTTTTGGAAGTGGACCTTGGCCTGGTACCTTTAAATTTCCTTGGATTACTTTCCTTTATTGACAAGTGTTTTTTTGCCTTAGATTCTACTGTACTTTACCTTTTAACTCATGCAATATTTCAGGATCTCGTTCCTAGTCCTCCACCTGACAAAAGTAAAGATGATATACTCCTTTTCTTTAAGCTTTATGATCCTGAGAAAGAAGAGCTTCAGTAAGTCTTTTGCTCTTAAAGGAACCTCATGTTAGAAATATTTTGGCATGTGACAAGGTCTTTTTTTTTTTTTGAAGATTTTTATGACAAGGTCTAATGACAAGATTTATTCCCTTTTTGCATTTCCAGATATGTTGGTAGGCTTTTTGTGAAGAGTACTAGTAAGCCAATTGAAATACTTCCAAAACTGAATGAATTGGCTGGATTTGCTCCTGACCAAGAAATTGACCTTTTTGAGGTGTGTTACTGTTGCCTTCTCTCTGTTATTGATACAGTTATCGATCTTATTGACGTGGCATGAGAATGTCTTTTTCCTTTACAGGAAATAAAATTTGAACCTTCTGTCATGTGTGAAAGACTAGATAGAAAGGCTTCATTTCGATTTAGCCAGGTTTTTGTCTTCTGTTTTCCCCACCCAGTTGCTGAAAGCTCATATCTTCTCAGGTGTAGATTTTCTTTGCTGACTGACTGAATTTTTATAGATTGAAGATGGTGACATTATATGCTTTCAAAAGAAAGCTTTGCCTGAAGTTGAAGAACAAGTCCGATTTCCGGATGTTCCTTCATATCTGGAATATGTAAAAAATCGCCAGGTGAATCCCCATACTGCTCCAGTTTTCGCTAAGCTGTTGATGCTCTTTATGTTGAAGTTAATTCTTATCCCTTATTTTTTGGTTTATGATCCTCTATGGTGGTGCCAAAGGAAATAAGTTTCAAAACTCCCCTGGGTTTTTGCCTTGACTAGTTGCATCATTTTTGTTACTGTATATGTGACATCTTTCTCGCCTTAATTTATGTTTTATGCTTGCGTACACCGTACAACTGGCTCTTTATGTTTTACTTTCTCCATTTTGATTCCTTAAATCTGAGTTCGTTGTTTACAGATTGTCCACTTTCGAGCACTGGAGAAACCGAAGGAGGATGATTTCTGTCTAGAGTTGTAAGTTTATTTGTATCTTATCTTTTGATTTATTGCAAAGCATTTGCTTACATCTATAACTATTTGTTTTTGTAAAATTACAGAGCAAAAAGTGATACATATGATGATGTAGTGGAGAGAGTGGCGCAACGGCTTGGTGTGGATGATCCCTCCAAAATTAGGCTTACTCCACACAACTGCTACTCTCAGCAACCCAAGCCTAACCCCATCAAATATCGGTCTGTGGATCATTTGGTAGACATGCTAATCCATTACAATCAGGTTTGTTAACATGAACTGACTTTATCTTGGGAGCACATGGTGACGTTTAACGCTTTACTCATCATAGCAGTGGACAGTAGTATATACTATTTTGGTAGGATCTAATGTGGCAATGGACTAACCACAGGATCTAATGTGGCAATGGACTAACCACATCTCATTTTTTTTTGGGTGGATGATAGATTTCTGATATACTTTATTACGAAGTTCTGGACATTCCTCTGCCAGAATTACAATGTCTGAAGACGCTCAAAGTTGCTTTTCATCATTCTACGAAGGATGAGGTGTGTCTAGTATGGCAAAATCATTTGAATCAAATCAAATTATTACTTTTCCTCATTACATTTTTTTCATTGCTTTCAGGTTGAAATTTTGAATGTAAGATTGCCTAAGCAGAGTACCGTGGGGGATGTTCTTAATGAAATCAAATCAAAGGTATAGATAGGTGTAGCAACCTGAATTGCAATATTGAGTCTATGAAAGGAAGTGATGTACTTTCAAGGTTTTGCACCTCTCAAGTACAAAGAATAGAGAAAAACAAAAGCACCCCGCTAAAGTTTTTCACAAAACTAGCGAAAGCGTTCTTCAAACTCACGTTAGAAGAATGTAAGATGGAAAGAAACCTCACCCGCACGTTCCTCAATCCCGCAAGATTGCAAGAAACGTTGAATAAATGAAGAAGAATGAAATAAAAGATCAATCACGTTTTTGAAGCAAAAACTTAGAAAAACTAATCACCAACCTTTATTTTCAGCATATTGAGCCCTTTTAATAAGGCTTACAATGAGTAAAATTGATAAGGTTAAGAAAAACTAATCCTAATTAAACTAGAATAAGAATAAGGCTAAGAAAACCTATCCTAACTAAAATAGGAAAAAGAATTCTAGTAAGAATGAGATACCAACTAACAATCCTAGTTTGACTACAACTACAAATATAATCCTACTAAAACAAGAATTAAATTACTAGGAAATAAGAAATAACAAATCCTAATCTCTAAGGAAAAGAAATCCTAATCTTGGATGGATTCTTCGCTTATTGAATTTCTTGGATTTTTAGCATTCTTGATCTTGCATCATTCTCCCCTGGTTGAAAAAGACTCATCCTCGAGTCTAACAACTTCCGTAGATGGCACAAAATTTGCTATAGTAAGAATGGAGACCCACGACGGGAAAAAAAGGGGGACCCAATGCTCACCAGGTTTTAAGTTACATTTTGCTAGTTTATCATAGAGCTTCTTCACGTTGTAAGCAAACTTAGCATGTGGTCGAACTAAATCCTCACTTTCTAAGTTTCAACTTTCTACCAAGTCTTTTCCATGTAATCTTTCTATGTTGACTCTCAAACTTCAACTTATGATATGAAGTTATTGATGTTGGAACTTCATGAAACTTAACCAACTCTATGTCTAACTTTGAATTAAGCATAGAGATCAACGTTTTTCTTGAGGCTGCATCAATTGCTATGCTTGTACACTAACAGTCACTTTGATGATGGTGATAAATATTTATGAGGTGAACACATCTTATTTCTCCAATATACCTCAAACTCTCCATTATCCACTCCTTAGGTAATCCTTCCTCTTGTTCATGTATGTTTTTATGGACTTTAGGATTAACGCAATATGCTGACTTGTTTGGGATGATTGAGTCAACAATCAAGTCAATATTGTTTTGAGCATCTCTGAAAGGCGAAAAGTCAACTACACCCATGGCTGGATAATCCAATGGATCGTCATAAAACTTTGGTGGTAATTCCTCAAGTTTTGGATCCAATGCATGTTCCTCGTCTCTTTGATATTGGTAGTCATCAGCTTTGTGCTCTTCAATCCCTTGATTACCAGAATAATTATCATATTGGGCATGGTGCCTTGGTACCTTTGCGCCTTGGTCAGCTTCAACCTCTTCAGCTTGCTCAATATATCTTGTTCTTTGAAGTTACATTGGTGGATATCGAAGTGGTAGACGTGGCAGTAGCACTGGTATATTATATGGTGATGGAGGTGGTCGTGTTGGTGGAGGTAGCAGGCGTTGTGATAGATTTGGTGGCTGATTTTGAAACACCAAACATTCAACCAATTTAGTCAGATTCTCCATTGATTCCTTCAAGTCATCTAGCTGCACTTTAATTTCTTCGTTGTCTCGTTCAAGGATTCTAGTTCTTAATTTATGAACTCTTAATTGAAGATCCATTGAAGAAAATCCCGAACTTGGTATTTTGTTGTTTGGTGACACAATGAACAAGGTAGCAAATCAAGAATTCGGATTTGGAACTTGCGCTCTGATACCAAATTGATGTACTTTCAAAGTTTTGCACCTCTCAAGTACAAAGAATAGAGAAAAATAAAAGCACCCCGCTAAAGTTTTTCACAAAACTAGCGAAAACGTTCTTCAAACTCATGTTAGAAGAATGTAAGATGGAAAGAAACCTCACCCGCACGTTCCTCAATCCTGCAAGATTGCAAGAAGCGTTAGAATAAAGGAAGAAGAATGAAATAAAAGATCAATCACGTTTTTGAAGCAAAAACTTAAAAAAACTAATCACCAACCTTTATTTTCAGCATATTGAGCCCTTTAAATAGACCTTACAATGAGTAAAATTGATAATGTTAAGGAAAACTAATCCTAATTAAACTAGAATAAGAATAAGACAGAAAACCTGTCCTAACTAAAATAGGAAAAAGAATTCTAGTAAGAATGAGATACCAACTAACAATCCTAGTTTGACTAGAACTACAAATATAATCCTACTAAAACAAAAATTAAATTACTAGGAAATAAGAAATAACAAATCCTAATCTTTAAGGAAAAGAAATCCTAATCTTGGATGGATTCTTCGCTTCTTGAATTTCTTGGATTTTTAGCATTGTTGATCTTGCATACGGAAGAAAGCAATTTTTTGCACCCAGCAGGAAAAAAGCAGTTTCCTAATGTGGTTGATTTCTTATGTCTTGATGATTATGTATTTTAGGTACTTTATGCATTGCTGAATGTCGTTTGATGGATTCAGGTTCTGTGGAGAACATGTAGGAAAAGGATACAGTCTTGTCTAACTCGTGTTATTTATTTACCTTAATAATTGAAGAGTTGAACAGTCAACCTACCCCAACTTGTTTGGGATCGAGCCATAGTATTAGTAATAATTGAAGAGTTGGTATTTGCATTCATTTCCTACACTACGCCAGTGTGTGTTTTTCTGCTACTTTGGTTAGTACCTTTTCCCTCAATCAGATTGTCATATTTCAGTTCTCAAGGGTCAGATTGACAGTATTTTATGCTAGATTGGCAATGGTCAAATTGTCTATTGAAAATAACATGTCTTTTAAAATAACATTTAGAGATTTAGAAGTGACATGAGAAGTACAAGTTTGCAACTTTTGCTTTTCAATTTGTTTGACCATAATTGAGTATGTGAAAGTTCACTATTTTTTACATGTGGGGGTTGGCAATCTTTTTGTGAATTTGTTTCACTTTGGAAGACGGCAATCTTTCTTTTTTTAGGCGACGGGAGTACTCTCTTTCCCATCAGATTATCTTATTTAAAGCCATTAATAAAGGATTTCCCGTGAATGTGCACCCTAATGTTTTTCATCTGTGTATATATTACGAAGAAAATCTTTCTACATGCATTTTTTTGAGGACATTTGCCTCCCTGTCTTCTCCCTGCATCCTATCTACAAAGGAAAAAGGAAAAGATCATGCGGAGCTTGACTGGCAATACGAGATTTAGATCTGTCATGTATATTGTGCAACCAATATTATATGTCTAATGGTGGCTTCTGTTTAATGATGGCTTCTGTTTCTGGTATGAGAATATAACTACTGGCATATGGTTGCTGCAACAGGTAGAGTTGTCCCATCCAAATGCAGAGCTTAGATTACTCGAAGTCTTCTATCACAAGATTTATAAGGTGAGTAGTCCTAATATAAGTCCAATACTTTTATCTTTTATTATGTTTGTGCTGACATTTTAGTTTGATAGCAAAATGGCCTTTCAAGACTAGCACTGCTAGCTTATATGTTCTTTTTGTCTGTCTATCTAATGCATTCTTTCGTTATTGCTAATCTGCCAGATCTTTCCGCTCACTGAAAAGATTGAGAATATAAATGACCAGTATTGGACATTGCGGGCAGAGGAGGTTAGTTCTCTAGGTGTTGTCTGGCTGGTTTCTTCTTCTCTCTTCCTCATCTCCTTTTGGTCTTTTTACCTCTTTTTTTTCAACAACAAAATAAAAAAAAACTGGTGAGGTTTTGAAAGTTTAAGCAGAAATTTGAATAAATATTCCATTCCTCCCCCACCCTCTTTCAAAATGGATAATCTAGGGTCTGGGTTTTAATTTGATTGCTATGCTTTGCTGTGTCAGCTTTAATTGTTAGGCCTTCTGTTCCACCGACCTCTCTGCTTTAGACAGTTCAATCTGGGCAATTAATGATGATATTTATGGCATATTGTCTACTTGCTTACTACTGTATCTATTTTATTTTAATTTTTTTGCAGATACCAGAGGGGGAGAAAAATCTTGGTCCCCATGATCGTCTAATTCATGTTTACCATTTCACGAAAGAGACTCCACAAAATCAAATGGTATTACATATCGGCTTGTTTGATGTTACTGATACACTGTTGCATCTGATGTTTACTAAGATGTTACTGATACACTGCTGCATCTGATGTTGAAATTAGTAACTGGATTGGTTTTCTACAGCAAGTGCAGAATTTTGGAGAACCTTTCTTTCTGGTCATCCATGAAGGTGAAACTTTAGCGGAGATTAAAGTGCGCATTCAAAAGAAATTGCAGGTTCCAGATGAGGAGTTTTCTAAGGTACAGTGCGTGAGCACAAAGCTTTTGCTGCAGATGGAATATGCTTGCATACTTATAGCATGGTGGTTTAATTTTGAAAGCCCTATGACTGACTTGGGGGTTGACTCTACTCTTTTGATGGCTAGTGGAAATTTGCATTTTTATCATTGGGGCGCCCGGAATACCTTCAGGATTCGGACATTGTATCCAGCCGCTTTCAGGTAGTGTATTGATGTTATCTTGTATTTTCTTCCTCCCCTTGGATTTCATTGTCAACTTCCGTATAAGTGTTTGGGTCAGCTTTAGTTATGTTTTCTTTGTTTCCAAATTCTGTCCATGCTGAAAATGCTTATATTCCTGTTGCAGAGGAGAGATGTTTATGGTGCTTGGGAGCAGTACCTTGGATTGGAACATGCAGATAATACATCTAAGAGGCCATATGTTAGTCAGGTAAATTCTCTAGGTCTTATGGCTTCTGCATAACTCCAAGATACTAGGAGTTACCTTTTGGTTACCGGATTAAACATGTGAGTAACTCAATTGTACAATCTTAATTTTGGCTCCTCTTAAAGGGCTGTTAACTCTTATAGTTATTGATCTGAGCGGAACATATTCTTTTGTTAGCCATTATATATATATATATATATATACCCCTCTCATACTAATATTTTACTTGGGCTAATGAAACAGGCACATACAGTTTGACAAATGTCACAAATCTCTCTTTGAAAATAGCCCGTAAAAATTTACTGGTTGAAACAATTTTCTTTTTAGAATGTACTGGTTGAAACAATTTAAGTCTCCCATTGTAGCACATTTAATAAATTATATATGCAAGGAAGCTGAATGGAAATCATTGACATGTCTTTCTTGTTCTGAATTTTTTTCTTCTGGATAAGTTCGTCGTTCCGATTCATGCAGGAAATATGGAATGGCAATAGAAAAAGAGAATGAGGATTTTTGAAGTGGGAAAAACAGATATAGCAACTTCTCTTGTTATCCAAACACCCTAAAGCATTATACAGTATAAAGCCTAATTGTTGGGAAATGCACTTGTCTCTCATTATTTGTATAATAAGGGTTTAGGTTTATAATGTCCTGGTCCATTCCGTGCATTGCCTTAAGGTCTTGGGGTTAAATGTTCAGATTCTTTCACATGGTATCAAAGCCAGGCCTATTCTTATGGTTTACCCAAAGTTGTGCCTCATGTTGCCTGGGCGTGCAGAGGGAGCGAATGAGATGTTCTCTTTTTATATGGTTTTACGCAATCCTCACCTCATGAGCTAGTTCTAGGGTTGAGTGAGGCCCGGAATCCATTTTCTTGGTATTAGAACCCAAACTTTGGTGAGTTCGTTTTCACAATCGCATGCTCTCTCTTCATCTTCTATTGCGCTGGGCTCTCTCTCTTAGGTCAGCCTATGAAGCTACTATGGGCGCCTCTCTTTCTATCTTTCACACACAAAATGCATTCCATTGAGTTTCTAATGTTTGTTCCAGGCCCACTGCTTGTTGCGCCTAATCTGTTTCCCTCTGCTCTAAGCCCGCTACTATTGAGCCTCTTCTCTCTTTATTTTAAGAGAACAAAAATAACAAAGAAGGGGTAAAATTATCTTCAGTTAACGTGTAAACCCTAGAACTAGGTTATACGTGCGGGAAGGCGTTAGTAAATATACTTTTCCCTCATTTGTTGTTTAAGGGTTTCCAATGGATTGTATCATGTCTTGAGGCACTCTACAGATTGCTCTAAGGTTTTGTGGAGGCTTAGATCTTTACTCTAATTTCAATTAGGTACTCTATTTGCATAAAAAATAGGTGCAATAGGTTGACTTCCATGTGGTGGATTAAGGATATATTTTTATGTTTGAGCTTGGCATAGTAGTATTTAAATAATAATAATTGAAATTTGGGAAGTTTGAGGACTTTAATGGGCAATTGTCATGTCAGGGTTATAATAATCTAAAATGTACTAATATAGTAGTTTAAAATTTTCAAAGGGAAAGCTCGGCTAAAGGACAAGCGAATTGGGAAGGACAACTGAATGATTTAGGCTATTAAATCAGTACAAAGGGCTTGTCAGAAAAAACAAAAAATAGTACAAAGGGACTAATCACTTTTGACTAGAATTAGTTTGCCTTAATCAGTACAAAGGGACTAATCACTCTTCACAATGCCATAAAGTACGTAGTGTCAGTTAGATGAAACAGGTTATGCTCTTATAATCTACAAAGCCTGATTTATATTAATTTACTTTCGTTATTGCATGCTTTTAGCTTTTGACAAACTGTTAGGGCCAAGTTAAGATTTACCGTCTTTACTGTAGTTCTGGCGACTAGATTGTGACCTAGATCTTGCTATGTGATAAGGTATTCAGGTCGTAGATCAATTATTATAATAATAATAATAATAATAATAATAATAATAATAATAATAATAATAATAATAATAATAATAATAATAATAATAATAATAATAAATTCAGTTAATAGTTGCAGACAATGGTTTAATTTCTCTAGTGCTATACCTTCTCTTTTGGGGGGTGCAGTCAGATACTATTAGATATGGCTGACGTTGCCATTTTTCACAATGATATTAATTCAATTAGTGGTTTGCATGTGTAGTACCAAAAAACATCAGTTTAATAGTTGCGGAAGGACTTAATATTACTGGTGTGCTGGACCTTCCCTTTGAGCAGCTTGTTGCCTTATAATGTGGTCATTTTATGTTAGAAGGACCTCTATTAGTTAGTTCATTATGCTTTAATATTTCACTCTGAATTTTGCAGAACCGCCACACCTTTGAAAAGCCAGTCAAGATATACAATTGAATAGGGTCTGTTGATACTCCAGCAGGGCTTTGGTTGTACAGTGTACACCCCTCACGAGCTAGAAGGGATATGTAAAAGAGTTGTGAGCTATGGCAGGATGATAAGTAGAATGAAGAGAAGAGATTAGCATGAATATTATTTTCCTCCTGGTAATTTGGTCAGACTGCAGGCTATTATTCTTCCTTTTAGTTTGGTTTGGGTAAGGGAGGTTTGTATTTTGCTCTTTAGTTTAGTTAGGATGTGCGCTGCAGTTTCTGCCCTCGCCTTCAGCTATTACTCTGCTGAGGGTTGGGTCTTTTTGACATTATCTTCTGCATATAAGATTTTGGTTGAAGGGATGTATAGTTGATATAGTTGGGTGCATTGACTTGCATTATCTGCATTTTATTTTACAGAATTTTCCCAGTCCTCAGTTTGGTTGTATGTAATGTCATACTTGTGAGGGATGGGCTTGTAAAATCTCCCTATAGTATTGGTATATGTTTCTTTGCTTCATTTCTCCGTGTTTGTTTTGCTGTTATGTTAGTTTAGTTTGGCCGAAACTGAGAAAACCGCGCACTCAAGTATGTGAATTTTTCATTTGTTGGCTATCTTTTCGCTTCTTTTGTTAATGAATGAAGGCCCGCTGGACTGGTAGAAGTGTTAATTCACTGCATTTATTTCAGTGTTGTCATAGGTACGCTTAAATCGTGCTCGTCCTGAAGCGAAGCTCAAAATATGTTGAGCTCTTCGCCTCGCTTTGTGGGCGCTTCAATATCGCATGAAGGCTCTAAGATATATTTTTCCTTGCCAATGAGTGTAACCTTTAAAAGGCAACACTAAATAATTGATATTTCCTTTTATCGTAATTTTTTTTCAATTTCTTTCTTGAGTTGGTCTTTTTTCATTAAAGCCCAAACTTTATTTGCACTTTGCGCTTAAGCCCCAACGGATCTTAGAGTTTTTTTGCGCTTTGATAACACTGATTTATTTTACCGAGTTATTTCATCTAAACAACTATATGTAGAAACAATTATTGCTTAAACTGATGATGCCTTAGTTCTCATCTTTCTTGATGGCAGACGATGATGATATATTAGCCCATCACGGGATTGAGATGTTTCACAGGAAAATCTTTAAAATTGATTGTGATAGTAAGTCAATTTTAGAGAATCAACTAATGACTTATTTGGGATCTATGGGTAGAGAGATAGTTCAAGATAACACTAGTTCTTTCTCTTGTTGAATAAGCTTAGATATTCTTCAATAGTTTTCTCCAACACACCGTAATTTTATTTAGTCAGGAATCTACTAATTAAGGTTAAATAATTGCCAAACAAGCTTAGCTGTGGAATTATTGCAATGATATCATGGTGTACACATAAACACTGTATCTTGGCAATTGCACCTTTTCTTGTTTGTACTGTGGGAATATTCTTTCATTTTTCAATTTATTGCTGTTCTCAACCGTTAAAAAGCTAAAGTTCGTACAGCATACTTTTGAAAAGATCAATGCTTCACCTCTTTGAAGCTAAATTGACAACAAATCAGACTAGAGAAATGTGACTTAAAGTAAATCACACAACGAGTCCGAAACTTTTTTAATCATTTTTTGGACAAAAAATACTTTTGTACTACTTAAAAAAAAGTTATATAAATAAGTAAAACGCAGTATTATACTGCGAATTACTTTAACGAAAATTTTGCCGTTAAAGTAATTCGCAGTATAGTACTGCATTTTTGTTTAATTTTTTTTTTTGTAAATCAGTACTATACTGCGTTTTACTAAGATGCTGGGCCCAGCCCCTTCTTCTTCCTTGGACCACTGAACCGAAGGAAACCAAAAACCTTCGATTCTGCTGCGCA